ACAGTCCCCAGGTTACAGTCCATGGTGGCTGTCTCTCCTTTCCTCACTGTCATAACAGGAGGCTTCTGTGTCACCACTGTCACACCACTCACACCTGGAAACAACAAGAGGACATGGAGTCAAGAGAAACACACAGACTGATGAATCCCACATGAGGTCAACGCCGCAGTACGTCAGCCTCCTTACATGTTAGAGCGGTGATGAGAGCGCAGAGGGTCCCCAGCATGTTGTCCCTGTGTGCTGAGAATGGCCTTGTCACTTGGAGAGTGAGCTTACTGCTGACAGATCAGAGGGTTTGGAGGATGAGGAGAGGAGGTGGTGGAGGAGCAGTTTAATACAGCACTGAAACTGAGAGGGACTGACAGGAGGAGGAGCTTTGGGTAAATCTGCATGGTGACGTGTGTCGGTCTCTTTTCTTCTGTGGAGTGAAATGTCACTTTGGTTTAGTGGTTGCTGCCAGTGTAGGTGAAAACTTTAATTTACAACCTGTAGTCATGTCATTTTATCTTTTATAATTCTGCATTCTTTATTGTTTGCACAGGAATGATGAGTCCGCATACCGGGATGAGGTAGAGTGGCTTTCTGGCTGGCGTCGGGAAAACAACCTGATCCTCAAAACCGCCAAGACCAAGGAACTGGTGGTGGACTTTAGGAGGAATAAAACAGACATTAACACTGTTCATCGATGGAGTCCAGGTGGAGAGGGTGGCCGCTTTTGGGTTCCTGGGCGTCATCTTTGAGCAGCACCTGACCATACTCATACCATTGCTTTGGTAAAGAAGGCCCAGCAGAGATTGTATTTTCTCAGTCTTTTGAAGAGAAACAATCTGAATGAGAAACTGCTGGTGTCCTTCTACCGCTGCACGATAGAGAGCATTTTAACATACTGTGTCTGTGCCTGGTTTGCCAGTTGCACAGCTGCAGACAGGAGAGCGCTCCAGAGAGTTATCACCAGAGCTCAGAAGATCATCGGCTGCCCCCTACCATCTCTGGAAGAACTGTACAGTTCCCGTTGCTTGAAAAAAGCACAAAACATTTTGCAGGACCCATCACACCCTGAACATTTTCTGTTTGAGCTGCTGCCTTCGGAGAGAAGATACAGAACAATTAAAGCAAGGACAAACAGATTAAGAAATAGCTTCTATCCGAGAGCTATTGTTGCTTTAAATGCTGCTAAAATCTCAAAATCTGAATGATAGATGAGTTTATTTATTTTGTGTGATTTTAAGGGAGCTGTGCAATAGTCGGATGTGTATGGATGCGAGTGTGTAATTTTGCTGGGTTTTTATTATTTATGATTATTTTATTATCGAAGGATTGCATTTTAATTTCGTTGTACAATGTACAATGACAATAAAGATATAAAGTAAAGTATTTCTAAGTTACCTTTTATTTCGAAGATTTTGAAAAAAGTGGTCTATGCACAGGTGAAATCCTTTTTAGATGAGAATAACTTATTGGAGGTTTTTCAATCTGGTTTTAAACCCATGCATAATACAGAGTCAGCCTTACTGAAGTATGTTAACAATATTTATTTGGCCACTGATGCGGGTGAATATGTGATTCTTGTCCAGCTGGACTTGACTGCCACCTTTGACATGGTTAACCATGACATTTTAATATCTTGGCTTCAGGATTTAGTGGTCATTTGTGGTGCTGCCCTAGCATGGTTTAAGTCATATTTATCGGGTAGATCGATGTCTGTCGGGTTGGCAGATGTTGAATCTGTGACAACCCCTTTGTTATCCCACAGGGCTCCATTTTGGGGCGTTTGCTTTTTTTTCCATTGCATTTACTTCCCCTGGCTCCATCTTTAGGAAATATGGGGTGTCTTTTCATTGTTATGCTGACGACGTCCAGATTATTATGCCACTGAGTAAGAAGGACACCTACTCGGTTCAATCGCTTTTAGCATGTCTTGCAGATATTAAGGGCTGGATGTCGTTAAATTGTTTAAAGTTAAATGACGCTAAAACTGAGGTTATAGTGTTTGGCCAGAATATGTCTGGTGACCCTCTTCCTGTAGACTTAGGTTTCTTGGGGCAGTATGTGTGACTGGTGGTCACTGATTTGGGTGTTAAAATAGACTCCGATTTGAAAATGGAGAGCCAGATAAATGCGGTTGTAAAATCTGTTTTTTTTTTTATTTAAGGCAATTAGTAAAAGTAAAACCCTTTTTGTCGCAGCGGCTTTTTTAGACAGTGATCCATGCGTTTATTACATCTCGTATGGATTACTGTAATGCACTGTATGCTGGAGTTAGTCAATCGGGTCTTGCCCGCCTCCAGAGTGTCCAGAATGCTGCCGCTCGATTATTGGTTGGGGGGCATAAGAGGGACCACATAACGCCAGTGCTAGCATCTCTCCATTGGCTTCCAGTGCATTTTAAGATTCTTTTATTTGTTTATAAGTCCTTAAATGGGCTGGCACCATCCTTTCTGGAACTTTTGCGCCCGTATAATCCGTCGCAGTGCCTTAGATCAGCTGATCAGCTTCTTCTGGAGGCCCCCCAGAGCTAGGTGTAAAACTAGGGGGAATAGAGCCTTCGCTGTGGTGGGTCCAAACCTGTGGAATGCTTTGCCTCTTTATATTAGGCAGGCCCCCTCGTTGTCTATTTTTAAGTCTAATTTGAAGACCTACTTGTATTCATTGGCATTTGGCCAGGAATTAGACTCTGTCTGTAGTGTTAGAGTGTTTGTTTTATTGTTTATAGTTTTTTATGTGGTATATATTTGTATGGTATGTTAAGCGCTTTGGTCAGCTGTGCTGTGGTAAAGCGCTATATAAATAAAGTTGAGTTGAGTTGAGAGTTGAGTTAGCTTATCCAGACGGGGTGACGACTCTTTGAGCTCCAAACGGCTGTAGACCCACTAGCAGTACAAAACTTGCTTTGCAGCCGTAACACACAGTTTACCAGACACTCTTATTATTTATAGCTCACAATTTAGCTTCTCCAAACTGGTCTGTCTGCTCAGACGTTCTAACACCCAATTGGCTGCAGTTCTCCTATTCTAAAACAACAACAACAACCAGCACACACACACAGTCACTTATTTACACAATGTTAGTAAATCCTACACCTTCACACACACACACACACATTCACAGAGTGAGCAGCTCACACACATCTCAAACACAAACTCATTGTTTCACAAAAATAGAAAATAAGTCTTATACTCACCTCAGCAATACAGTATACAGTCTGGAAATCCATGAAATTGAAAACAAGAACAACAAGAAATTGCAATACACACAATTCTCAATCATCCCTCTGTCCCTAACTTCAGACACACATCTCAGCCAATTACACAACACCAAACAAATATATGTTCACATATTTAAACACACATTAAAGTCCACACTTATTCACATACAGAAAGCGCTTTGAGTGGGAATCCACAAATAGGACACAGCCTCACCATAAAATTTAATAAGTTGCAGACACCTTTATAACTCATAATTTCACGCTGTTCAGTCCGCTGTCAGACAACTTATACCTTTTTCTCTGTTAATCCTAATAGGCTGTTTCACAATCACATAAACATCAAACATCTAAAAACAACATCAATGTATCCTGCAAACATTTAAAGCAAGTTGTTTACATCAATGTTAGTAATGGTGTTAGTGTTAGTAATCGCAGCAGTCTTCCCAGTCACCTGTCAGACAGTTATTTGGTTCCCTTCACACAAATTCTTGGAGGACATTCAAGATGGGAGATTAAATGTAAAATTCTCCCACCTTAGGCTCCTACCTGCAGAGACAACGTCGAGGTTTGTCGTGACTAGAGTGTGATGCCGACTAAATTAATTCAGACAAATCATCCCAATTTAAGTAATCATTTAATATTACAATTATTCTGAATAGAGTAGTAGTGAAATAGATAATCTGATAGTTAGGGAACAGAGAACAGAGACCAGAATCACTCCTCCTGCTGTGCGATAGATAAAGTATTAAATACGAAGATTGTCAAAAGCGCAATGCTTCAAGGGTTAGATATGCCTTTTAAATCATTGCTTATTACATATCAACATCTTCTTCCCATTAAATAACTTTAATGTGTGTGTTCCACTAGGCTGGCTTTTTGGCACCACGGGAGGGCGTTCTGGTCTTCTCCCACAGGAGCACATCAGGCCATCTGCAGCCCCAGACTACCACTGTCTCCACCTTAACAGAAGAGATGACAGGAGGAAAAGCATGAGAAGCACTAAAAGCCTGTCTACAGGTCCCATCAGCAGATACACAGACAGTCCTGATTCAGAGTGGCCCAGCGGAGAGGCCTCATTCCGTGGCTCAGCACAGGGATCAATCCAGGGCTTAGTTCTGGGTTCAGACCATAACTTGGAGAACCTCTCACCAATGGCTGATTTTGCCATGAACTACTTTAGGTATGATAGAAAAAATATAATTATTCTCAGTTCCTGCAAGAGAGTTTGGGTTTATATAACATGACATGGCTAATTATGTCCTATAATTGTTTGTTCATCAAAGAATGGAGACTGTAGGCCTCACACCCAGCAGAAGGAATTTTTCAGAGATGGTTCAACATACAGAGGTAGGACAGTACAAAACGTCTGACATCACATTCTGTGTTGTGTAATTGCTCCACGTACATGGACATGTGTACAATAATCCTTTGTCCTAGCTGCCCTGTCTAAAATGATACAATCTTCAACTTATTCACAACTACAGCACATGCCTTTCAGGAATGATATCTTTTAGTTGCACCATCCAGGCTTTAGAACTGCTCACAGTACAACAGCTGATATGATTCACACTGCTAATTTACTATAATTCATTTAATAAAATGCAACCCTGTGTTACAACTCTTAAAGGTTTTTCAAGTCTTTTGATACTATTGATTGTATCATTTTGTTAAGTACCTGCTTTCATCTGCCTACATATGGTTCAATTCTTATCTGTCTTGTAGATGTCGAACAGTTGTTGCCAGCGGTTTTAAATCAAGTCCCTAGATGTATGTTAAGCATTTCCCACAAGGATCAATACTATGGCCCACTAGTATTTAATGTAATAGATACAGTACAGGATTATAAGTTCCTAGGAATTTGCTTAAGTTGCAGATTGTCCTTCATAAATCATGTACAACACCTTATTTCATATGTAAATATTTTGTGTTGAGATGGATAGATAGATAGATAGACAGACGATAGCTTTCACTATACTATCTAATATTGGATTGTGGAAATATATCCATAACCAATGTACATTCACTACAGTGACATTCCATTAATTACGGCAATCAATTATCACACACAACACTGTGAGTTATATGAAAATGTTAGAGGTGATCACTGACATCCAGAAGTCCAGATATTTAACATGCTTTTTGTTAATAAGACTACATGAATAAATAAAATGTCACTGCATTGTGTTCAACTTCCATCCAGGTCCCCATACAGGAGTCCCTCATCCTCTACAGTGATCCTGAACTCAACAATTCTTCTGTTCAGGGCTTCATTAGTGAGTGCATCCACACTATCCATGTTCATACACACTGAGGGCACTGTTTTTTCTCCATCATCCTCAAATTTGCCTGTTCCTCCAGGCCTGATGCAGTTCATGGGAGACATGCCAATGAAGAGCAAAAACACCCAGCCAGGCTGCCTAAGCCATATCTTATTGGTCAGTGCTAATTTACACTGTGTATCTGTATGAAATTGACTTCCATGGCATTTAAAGAAGAGTTTCTCTTTTCTGTTTAGATAGGAAAGGAAAATGAGTTGCTGAGAGATGAACTCTACTGCCAGGTCACCAAGCAAACAACCAACAACCCAACCAGGTGAGTCTGTAACATTTATTGAAGTTTTTGATAACATTTGCAGTTTCATATAATGTTAAGTAGTAAGTAATATACAAATTCCCCAAGTTCCTCAACTTGTTAATGTAGTGGCCAATGTTTGTTTTGTTTTAACCACTACATTAATATTGTAATATTAACATTTGGTTGATTTAATTAAAATTAAACCAGAATTACCAGCTCTGCAGTTCCCTTCAGTTCTACAGAGCTTTTCAGCTTTGACAAAACTGCATTTTTGTGAGCACTTTGAAATCCAATCATCAGTAAAGCATATGTCCTGCAAAGGAACCAATAAAACAAAATGGAATAATCTAAGCTGGGATATTAAAATTTAAGGTGTGGTGATTTATTCACAATTTTGTCTCCAACAATGCACGCTTTTGTTGTGGAACCTGACTTGGGCCAGTGTAAGTCCACATACACACCAGTGATGCATCCTTTTTCTTGTGAAAAAAAACACTCAAAGCCACTTCAGTCTGAAACGAGGCATAGGATTTATTGCAAAGTAGTCCCAACGAGCAATATCTCCGTTTCTGGTTTGCGAAGCAGTACAGTTTACTGCAGTAAACTGTACTGCTTCACAGTATTGCACCTTTCTCTCTTTGACCTCCAACACAATAGACACCATTATATTTGAACTTAGAGGGTGTCAGCTTTAGGTGCCTCTCCAGACATTACAAAAACTAAATTAATAAATTCAATAAGCATGCAGGTGACATAATAACCGTAGTTTATCTGATGATTGACACTACTAATGAGCAAACAATAACGTCTTGACACATGTCCCAAATTAATGATACCTCCAAACACATCCAGACATCATAAACATGTCAAAAACTCCATTAAGGCGACAGAAAGTAACATGCAACATATCACTTTGTCTTGTAAATATGTTCAACTTGTTAATAAGGTCATACATAAACACATTAACCTGTCACAAGGTGTCAGCTTAGAAATATTAAACCTTAACATGAAAGACTCAACCTGTCATAGGATGACACCTTAAAAACATTGAATATATACAACAAAGACTCTTTTCTATCTCTCCCTGTCTGGGATGAGACAGGTGGCCTCATGCCGCCTTTTAGTCTGGGCTGCAAAACTGGGCAGCCGTTTGAATGACAGGCTAGTAAACCCCCTCAGGTTACTCTAGGACATCAGGGTCATCTCCCGGTCATTCTTCCACACACAGAGTCACTCTCGGTCATCCATATGCACCACTCTACAGAGCAAGTATAACAAATACTGATGAATGTGGGTGGAACCTTTGAAAGACTGCTGTTTCCTGCTTCTGCGGTAACCGTACTTATTTCCTGTTTTCGGCACCTGCACCGTGTTTGTGCTTGCTCCCAGGAATTAAACTTACTGTTTCTAAGTTCATCTGAATTTTTGAGTAACAAAATACGCTTGCACCACTTAAGCACTGGTGTTGCAGAAGCTCTTGCTAATTACCAGATTTAATCTGCTACTTTTGGTCGGCTATCTTAGAAGCCAGCTAAGCTTGTAGCTTAATTTAGAGCAATGGCATCCCCCTGTTCCTCTCCTCCTTTCTCTTGCTCAGAGTGTCGCATGTTCAGTTATTCCTCTGCCTCCTTTAGCGATAATGGTACTTGTAATAAATGTCAGATGCTATCAGCATTGGGCAGCATTGGGGGCGAGGCTCACAGACTTAGAAGCGTGGCTCCACACCTTGGAGAACAGCCCAGCTAGCTATGCCTAGGTAGCCGGGGTGGAGC